AATGTTATTATTGTAGTGTTATTATTGTGTATTGTAATGTTTTAGGAGAGAAAGGTGGATTACGAACCACCGAGTTATAACTTCGGCAGATAATTAAAAGAATAACTATGGTAATCGGCGGGATTTAAAGTCACACGCTTCAAAAGTTGTACAGGTAGAAGCACAGAAGCAGCCACAGAAGAACATGTAAAAATTATGTGATATTTCAACATTTTGTTTATGAACAGTCCACGTTTCGTATTATGTAGCACTAAAGAATTTAGTCTATTAATATGACTATAGGTGAAATCAAGAAGAAAAAGATGTACAAGCCCGCTACCAACAATACTACAGAAGATAACGTGAACATGTAATGGGTTAAATTTCAAACTATCAAACTTACCAGATTTATCTGTTCTTATTCATTGTTTGTTCAGATTGCAAAGTCAATATTTATAAACAAAAGAGGTTGATTACGAATGTGGTCTTACACCTCAAGTGCATATAGTACACTTAATGATAACATTTAATGCAAGTACCACTTGAGTTCTAATGATAACCAAGTTATATAACTTTGCGATCTTTCTACAGCTTGTTGACAAAATTGGGGACTTCGAGAACATTTAGCGAATCAATCATGGTAAGTGCTTGTAAGATTATCGCCAGTAATAGGGTACATTTATAAACACAATAAAAAATGCATTTCACATTTTATTAGTGCGTTGTATTAGTGAGTTTTATTAGTGTGTTTTATGTGTGTGTTTTATACCCGGCAACGCACGTGTGCAATACTGTCGACCGAATGTGTTTCTCTATTGCATTTCTAATAATAACAGTGGAATTTCTCTTTCGTTATAACATTAGACTAACACAAGTACACTGCCCGTACCATTGTAAATTTTGAAGCTCGTTTTCGTGTCTGGTGACACTAGTGGCTAGAGTCGACGAAATTTTGGTTTCTATTATTTTAGAATTAATTTCATGATTTGTGCTTTACTGTTATATAACTAGAGTAAGAGTTATTGATTATGATTTGATCGTATAATTTTGCGAGGTTTTAAATGACTGAAAAAACAACAAACAAATTGTAAACAAAACACGACATCTAGGCTACAGTGCACCGGACAGAACTAACGATAAAATCAGCTTCAGCTGTTCCATAAGGATGGGAAATGTACTATAACAATAGAGGAATGAGTTAACAAAATAAATCTGTAGATTTAGTTAAAATAATAATGAAATGAATATGTTTAGAACTAGAGAGAGCATTGAAGAAGAACAGCGCTAATAAACAGGAGTAAAGATCCTTGGATTATCAGCTGATCCACATGGAAGCTGTAAGGGAGTATACTGCAGTAGGCCTACATAATTATGTTTAATCCATAGTACTTCTCTTGACACTTGTATTTTTATTTTACTTAGCTCTAACGTGGATTTTACATGTATTTTGGGTACATGGGTGGTTATAGTGCTCGCCAAGTAGGTAATCAAAATGTTGCCGGATCCTGGACAAATTTAATCATATATCCCTAAACAAAAAGACGATTAGCACAGGTTCTGGCGTCCACAACTTTGAGCGCCGTGTAGTTTCGTAGTGTGTGCGTTACTACACGGCGCTCCCAGTGGTGGACGCCAGAACCTAGGCTAATCGCAGCATGGCTGTCGGTCTATATTCTCTTTTTGTCTATGATATAGCCTCATGTCTTCTAGTTATTGTTTATTTTAAATAGTTAATAGCTTTTAAGTTTTTAACTGTCACACAACAAAAAAATTATTAGTTACTTGTACTTACAGACAAACAAAACCTAGCCTACTAAGTAATTAAAGACATAGATATGGTACTAATCTCTGCTCTGTGCTTGTACACTTGATAACTAGAGAAAACTGATTGTTTACACTCAATATTGTGATAAAAGGAAATGTAGAGCGGTGTTTACCTACAGAGATAAAACTACAAGTTGTTTCCTGTTTGACTGGTTTACTTACATTGCTGATTAGCAATTACTTAGTCACTTCCTTGATTAATTGACGTGATAAATGATTCTGTAATCAGAGTAAAGACAAGGTATACTTCGTTCTTTCTGTGGTACCAAGGAGGATCTTTGACAAATCACAAATGCTATTCGGTATACTCATTATACTCATTGTTACCGATACTGTCCTAGTTATTTATTTGTAAGGTCGAAATTGACGACCTTGTCGTTAAAATTGTACCTATATTTTTACAACAATACTAATAAATATCGTAAAAACTCTTTCTTGATATCTATTACCTTTTAAAGAATGACTGTCGCAAGTTTTTAAACAAAAGATGTTGATGAACCTACAGAAAAAGAACTGTATTTTTCATCAGTCTGGAATACTGAATAGCGTGCGCCAAAGTAGGGCTTTCTGTACTATAATCTGTGCAAGGAAGCCCACTTTGTCGGGTCACTGTGGAAAAAATAACATGACCATTATACAGAGAATACCGATTCCTATACTCAAATCAGTTTCGATACTTTTTTAGTTTCCACGAACTATGTTGGTATTCCGCTTCAGCAACCGCGTTACAAATTGAAATAGTTTCAACTTGTCAAACACGCAATAACGAACGTTCCCAACTCAAACAGCACCACGGGATTGTTGACTGGACAGAGGACGATCAACCAATCATCGACTGTTGCGACAGTCGACAGCAAATAATTAAACCCAGAGCAAACACTGTTTGTAATCATATCAACAGACCGCGGTTCCCGCGCTCTGGCCGCGGGTCGATAGTTTTGGCGCGTAAATACATCATGTCGAGAACTATTTGTGTTTACCTCACATTGACGCACACTGCGTTTGTGGATGTTAAACGCGGATCGGAAAACCAGTTTCCAATATTTAGTTAGGCTAATAATCTTTTTTAATTTACCACGAATTTAAATCAGGAGTGACGGCTCCAGAATAGGGAAAAATCAAAAGTTTCCTTAATGTTAAAGGAAGTAGGCCTACACGTGTCGTTAGGCATTTCAAGTTAATATTGCGGGAAGGTTTTTGAACCCGGTCACCTCGTAACTACAATCAAAATGATCTAAAACCATACAGGTTCCTAGACAAGTCTTAACTATCACTACAACATACTTGGTTCAGAATTACAAATTGCTTCCCTAACAACTGCCGGGCTTGAAAACTCGTATACAACTTTTAGGAGATCTTATGCACAAATAGGTCTAGTTAACCAGTTAAGTGCTTGAATATCCTAACCCACCAAGAAATCGAAGTTGACACGGTTACCGATGTTTATTAACCAATAAATCCAAATCCAAACATAGTCTAAACTGAACCCAGTAAAACAGCCTCCCACTCAAACGCCGGGAAATCCAAAGCCGGTAAATCACCATAGCGACGGGTAATCCCCACACGTGAAAGGAACGCCTGTAGTAGCGGGAACAGTGTAGTAAGGGTGGATTCCAGTTCGAAGAATAGCCAGGCACATGCCACAAGGGACGAGGGAGTCTTGTAGACCTACCGCGGGGTCTTTGTCAGGGTGACCTGTAGGGGAGGCACCTGTCTCTTGAGGTTCGGATTTTGATTGCAGATCGAGCCGAATCAACAATGCGGAGAGCAAGGGAGTAAATAATATTCTGATTACGTCACATATTTTATAGCATAGACAATAGAGTAATTGATTTCTTTTTGTCTATGTTTACAGGTACCACCCTGCCCTGAAACGGATGGTGATGGTTTTAAGAATAACATAGACATTAAATTAACTTTTGACGAACAATAAGGCTCCAATTTTATTAATATTTCCTACTATTTTTTTAAAGCTCTGCAATTCAGTTTGGAAACAAGCCTATTGAAACCCCGTAATAGTCCAAAGGCTCCAGCAAAAGATTTAAGGGTCACGATTAAAGTTTTCAAACACGATACGAATATCCCGCAGCCAGCGCCGATTGTTAACAACATTTAATACAAGAATGAAACTTTGAAACAACACTTAATGGTGAATCCAAAGAAAGTCTCTATGACTGACATGACTTTGCACGTTGGTCTGTGGCAAAAAAGGAAAGGCGTAGGAAATGTGTGGGAGTCAAACTCTGGGGGATTTATAACATCACTGAAGAATAAAGTATCTCGACATCTGGTAGTAATTCGTGATACACTCCTTATTGTTTTGTATTTAGCTTACTTTGCTGCTGACGAGTATATAATTCGTTTACAGCGCATTAAATCAAACAATCGAAGACGACGTGTAAACAATAATCGGCTTCAATAGCTTTCATGACTCTAGATTAATCTCTCCGAGAATAATTTCATAGTTATGTTGCTGGACGCTCGTGCTACAATTTGATGTTAATTAAATCAGTGTACATTTTAAATGCTGTTGAAAATAAAACAAATAACAAGTAACACATGGATGGAGTGGGCCTAGTTTATAATTGGGGACAACTTCGGCAACAACACAACACAAACACAACTTCGGAACAACTTCGATACCGTTCTCTTTCTCATTATTGCTTCGGGGAAGAACTGGGTTGATGACAGCAACTTTAAAACAACTCTACATCCTTGAAAATTATTCTAAATCTAGGATCCATTTGATTATTGATTTACAAGATATGGCACACACGGTACACCAGAAAACGCAAAGCATTAAAATGATTGAGCGCATCAATTCGATCGTCAAAAGGTATCCGATAAACAGTAATTAATTATCATAGATTTTATATTCTTAAACGATGTAAATATTAGTTGGTTGCGGATCCGCTGCTGGATAAAATAACGATGCAAATCAACAGGCAAAGCTTACAGGACGGTCTTATATACACATAAGGTCATGTAAACAGAAAATTAAACCCAAGAAAAATGTGTACAAGTTTAAAGACTGTGATTTGACTATGACAGCTTGTGGAAATCACATGGGTTGCTTCACACATTTTTTATAGAAGTAGGCGAAGGCGATCCATCAAATTTGTTGAGGAATGAGTGGAAGGACGCGTCCAGCAGGAAAGGGAACAAAGAAACAGCAAAGTTAGGTTATGTGAACTTACCCCCGCAGCCGGGTGGCGAGTCGGAGCAGAATACATGGCGAATCCAGACACATCCAATCCAAAACACGTCAAACACCACACATGACACTCGAGAACACACCTTCGTAATCTAAAAGTGTCAAAGCAACGAAGCAACAGACGCGAACGTTCACTCAGTCACAAAACACGACTCGCAGCGGAATGCGAATGCACCGAGTTCCATAGCGTTCGCGACCGACGCGCGTTCTAGCGAGCGGCGGAGACAACTCCACTAAGCCACAGCCACAGCTAGCGCGAGACTTTCGCTGTAATGCCGTAATGGCCACGTGGTATACCCGAAAGAAACGTCATATCGTTCTCAGCCAATGAGCGCGCCAGATTGCCTCTAAGCCCCGCCCAATCACAGACTGACAGCCGGCCGTCAAGTCCACGTGGACTATCGACAATTTGCGCTCTCTCTCGCACACTGTCTCGCTCTCTCTCTAAACAACACTGACAAAGCCTAGGCCTTCCTTTTGGTCCGTGTAAAACGTTCCCCCCGCCTCACATCTCATTATGTTAATAGCTACAATAAAACAACCCAGAAAACCATCCGCGTTTACAGGAACGCTGTTCACCGGATCGCCTAATTTATTTTAAATTTTAATCGTTCACTATTATGTGTTTCCGATTTCAGAGAATGTTTTACATACGATTGCCGCTTAGTTTTGTGAATATTTACAGAAGTAAAGTTGTTCCTATATAAACTTTTAGGTTGAATTAACAGAATTTTTTTATTGTAAATACTGCACATTCTTTGGCACATCAAGTACACTTGGGGATGTATTTTAAGCTTCTTTAATTCTAGAATGCAAGGTGAGTGTAGAAAAAAAATCAGTGTGTAGCTGATCTGTGTAGCTTTGTTACAGTACTGACTATGTTCTGGATCATTAGTAATGTACAACTACTCACTCAGGAGTCAAGATCAACCTGAGACCTTTTCGATCGCTCCACTCATCCTCATCTCACACTCATCTCCATTCATACTTGGCTTAAAATACCTACTTTGTATGGTCGCCATTTCATCGAAAAGTATTAAAGTAAAGTATTAAAGTATTAGTAGTCGAGCACTATACCAACATCTACCCAGCAAATGACCATTGTAGCCTACAATTTACAAAAGTAACTACTGTAAGTGTAGTCAAAGATACAGCTTAGGGCTTTTAGACCAGTCTAACCAATAATTTAGACCTATTGAACATTAATCAAATAAATAGGCCTATATTTCAACTACCTACTTACTTGTAAATATATTTCATGTATTAAGCAATTAATTTATAAGCAATAGAGCTAAAAAAATAGATAAACTGAACGAAAATTGGAACAAGGTAAAACTACAAGCTTTATCATTCAACGTGATTCTTTTTCTCTCGCAAATCACTGCTTAATTTGTGTTTTATAATCATTAATTGTTATTCAGGGTTAGGCAAAAGTCTGAAACCCCCCAGTTAACTTTTTAACGCGTTGCAGTAGGAAAACCAAACTCGGCACGTATTTACAAAATAAGAAATTGCGCTTTTTCATCAAAGTTACAACTTTGTCCCAGCCCCAAAAATGGGGTATTTTGGGGGCAGTCCCAAATTTTCAAATGCAAACACATACCTGGGGCAAAGTTGTGAATTTGTGTTCTTGTTTGATGAAGAAGTGCAATTTATGTTGTAAATAATGCCGAGTTTGGTTTACCTACAGCAATGCGTTAAAAAGTTAACTGGGGGGTTCCAGACTTTTGCCTAATCCTGTATGTTGTCATTGACATATCAACATGCTTTTCTCTTGGCTATTTCACCTTAACGGCTATTCAATACTTTATTATAGTGGTACATGTTTATAAATGTTTATTTAACAACTGAGGGTGGCGCTTGGCGGCGTCGATGTGAGGGAAGAGATGGATTTAGTGATGTAGGCTACTGTAGTTTTCTTTTGAACCTTGCTTCGCTAAAACCAATGAAATAGACCTTAAACTCACTCATAGGGCTGCCACCTTTCACTATGAAAAATGGGGCTCGCATTTTCGTTTAACTTTGGGTGGGATGAGGAATGTTTTAAAGTGAACTAAAATTAAATAAAAAAAAAATACGTAAACAATTTATATTTCTTTACTTAATCACACATCAGTCACGTCACAGTCAACAAAAATATTCTGTAATGGATTTTCTATTGCGTTATCGTACTCACCCGTTGCAGTTCCGTCAGTCGCTCTGCCGGCATCCGTCAGACAATTTCAGATTTCTTCTCAACGACATTTTTTGATTGTTCTGACGACTGACGGACGTGTTTGAGGTTAGAAAATAGTGTTTTTCTATCTAAACGGTTCTGTTTGTATTTTAAGTACTGTTTATAACAATCAACAAAATAGGCAATGAAAATTTGATAGAAAATTGTGTTTTAATTTTTAAAAAAAATTAATGTAACGTCACTGTAAATAAAGGGACGGAAAACTGACTGTACCAAGTGACTGACAGGTTGACTGAGACAAAGGATGCAACTAAGACTGAACTGTGACTGGAGTGATATTATCATAGATTAAAAGATACTCCTTTTATCTATGCTATGATATTATGTGTGAATCGACCTTTATTTGGGCTTTTTCTTATCAGTGTTTTATTTTAAGGTAGGTACCGGAACTGGAACTGAAATTTGGAGTTATGACCTATATTCATTATTCGCTGAAATTCCTCTGATTTTATCTTTTCATTATGATGGACAATTTGAATTGTGTGATTACCCAACAAAATCATATTCATTCATGCTTACTATTGCATTCTCCTAAAAATTAAACACTATGATATTTTCGTTCTTATTTTAAATTTAACAATGAAATGAAATTAAATGTTTATGAATTTTTCCGGTAAGAGAGACAACGAACTGTCCCTATATAGACCCGATTTCGAACCACTCAGGAAGTATGATACCCACACTCACACAACATAACTCCTCTGAACTCCCCTGGGGAGCCTTTACAGCAACCAACATTAGTTTAGCCAGTTAAAAAATACCCCCACCGCAGCAAACCTGCAGACTAAAAGGACAGGGCGTTGGAAACGAATTTCCATTTGACAGATATTATTTTATCTATTTAATAACATTAGATTTAAATAATACCTAGGTTTCTGTTACCAGGGAGGTTAATTAAGTGGGGTTTATCAAAATATTATTACCGGTAGTATGAAATAAATAAATTTGCAAAGTTCGATCAAAATGTATGTATATACGAGCAAACTACAACATTTTACTTATTCTCCATAAGAATTAAATTTACAATCTTTTGAATTTTCTCTGTGACCAATAACCCGTAAAAACACTTCAATATACTAAATTATTTGTTTTTAAGCTCTTTAATGGTTCAGCGAGAAATTGGGATATTTTATGTTTCGAGGATCAAAAATTAGAGAATCCAATTTTCACCCCATAATCCCCCCTTATGCCATAAACCTGCATACACCCCCAAAACGGGGGCATATTCTGCGTGTGCCTCTGTCAAAACTAAGCCAGTTGCGTATTGCAAAGATAACCTCAATTTTCTTACTTAATTTTAAAACAACATAACATAAAACAACAAATAGGAAGGCTAAGGCACGCGGTTGACGACGGCGAATATTTAAACGCCTTCAATCTGAGAAACGAAACGAACTCACATTACAGTGTTGGATCAACCCAATCGAATTATCCAAAGTGAAACGTACAGGCTGTACCATAAGTTTACTCTACAATGCAAAATTGTACTTTTCGTTATGACTGTACTTTTGGATCAAACGAACGGCTTTATAACTGGTTGATCAAACGATTTTGGATCATTTGAAGATGGTCCTCCCATGTTAAAGCTGTTATCAATACAGTATTACTGTATAATGATAAACAAAAACATCGTAGGTACTAGTTACCTATCTATTTGAATTTATCACCAACAGAGTATCCTGATACAAATTGTTGATTTTGACGAATATGTTAACTTTAACCATGAACAATTGAAAGGATCTTACTGCAATAATAGTAAACTTGGTTATACCCCATAGCAGGGGCGTCATTTGGGGGTGGCAGGGGGGACATTTGCCCCCCCCCTGGATCCTGGGCTAGAGAAAAAAATATGGTGTACTACTAGCCAATATACAAATATTTTCTCCTGTCAAATCCTAAAAAGCACAGCAGGCAAAAATCTGTATATTCTTGTACAGTAATTTGAAACAAAAATTATTATTATTTTATTGTCTTAGATAGCACATTTTGAGTTTACATAAATTAGTAGTTTTGTGGGTATTCATTTACTTTTTCTGTTAGCGTAGCAAAAGAGCTCCAACCTAAAGATGAGTGAGCGTAGCGAACGAACTTCAACCAGGACGTGATTGAGCCATGCGAACGAGCTCATCTTGAAAATGAACGGGGGCATTTAACATAAAACCACATTAGGACAGGACGACGTCTGTCGGGCCAGCTAGTTGGTGATAAAATTTGATTTTCTTTTGTATTTTATTTAAAAACCAAAATAAAATGTTATAAACTATAGGCTATGAACAACCGTATTCATTGCTAAATGTTGTACAAGAGAAATTGGTCATGAATCTAATAAAAAACATAATATTAATACATCATGGAACTATTGATCACGTTTCTTAGATGACTAACTTACCAACATAAAATTATTGTGTTTCTGTCTGTTGTTAATAATTCTTAGTTTCATTAATTTTCTGCCTAAATTTAAATAAAATTTACTCATAATTGTATTTTTATTTGAAGCGCCTTTGACAATTAAAATAAGGTTAAAACTTTTTTGTTTCAAAACTTCAAAATGAGGACCCCCATACCCCCCGGTGTTTGCCCCCCCCCCCAAGGATTTGGTGAAATGACGCCACTGCCCCATAGTCAGTCAATACGATCTACTTCCGAAACAAAACAAAGGAAAAAATATAATCTTAGTCTCTAGCTAGCACATAAGTGTATAATTTAAACTATATTATATTGACTTAGTATTCTAAAAAAACACATCCCATAAGGTAGCCTTCATAAAAATCACACTCGTCTTAAGGATCACTTTGACCGTTAGAATTAAAACACAGTTTTATAAATATTTTCATAACAACTAAGTTAGGTAAAAGTTGGAAATTACCTTGTTTGTCTTCTTGTGGGCGAAGCAGTAACACATTTTCTTACCACAGTCACTCATCTTACGACAACGACACTACACTGCAAGTGACTCTCTACTCATGCTGAAGTCTGCCATGCAGATGTTTGCTGATAGTCTGCAGATGCTGAGACGCAGCATCCCACGCTGACGACATGGCGTCAGGAATGTTATCATCTCATGTGCGAGAGTCAGCATATCAGCAACAGTTGGCACCAACCATATCACATGACATACAGTATGGTTTGGAACACCTACACGTTGACTTTTAGAGACTGAAGTACTGTATGTGTAATTTTATAGCAAAACAACATAACTGAATTAGCCACTCAAAAAAATGAGACACAGTTCAATATTATGTTTCATCACAAGGGACTTAAGTCATTCTTTTCGCCCAGAGGTCGAAGTTTTACGATCGAGGCGAAGCCGAGGTCGGAAAACGAGCGAGGGTTGAAAACACGCTTTTTACGCTGCTTTTTACCGGTGTGATGAACTATATTTTTCATCATAGTCATAATGCACCCCTTTTAAACAAACTATTACACAAAACTAAAATTCATTTAAAGATAACCTCTAAAAACCACTTATAACTTGTTTTCATTTTAATTTGCTAATGAAAGCAATCATCTGTTACATGTAAATCATGATTGTACAAATGATTCTGTCGTTTCGATTGTGTTAGTGTACAAGTACATTATACAATCGAAATGTCGAACGTTTCACAATATAAGACAACCATAAGCTACAATCGATTAATCAATCGATAAATGCGATTGATTGCAATCGAAAGTTACAACTGAGTTGACAATAACAATAGATTTTTACTCCCTAAGGGATAAAAACGCTTTATATTCCCTTCCCTAGACTAGAGGGTAAAAAAGCTGTTTTTACTGCAGTATGACGAAAATTATAAATTTTTCCTTAGTTCTTAAAACTATGTCAAGAACATTCATTCTAAATATATAATATATAATGGTTTATGTTTATTGTCAGTGACAATTAATCCAATCCATTGATCCACGACCACGATAACATAACCTGAGGTAAAGTAGATTGTTAACAAGTGCGCTGCAGGGCGGCAAGCTGATTGTCGGTAATGTAGATCGCTATTTTTTTCATAGAATGATAAAAATCGTTGAATTTGGATACTGCAAATAGATTTAATCTCCATCATATTGTAAAATTTAAAGACTGTTTTAAGTTTTCGTGTCTGGGTACGTTTGAGTGTATTGGTACATTTGTTATTGTTTTCTTTGATTCCAGGCACTAAGGATAAATCTTGCATTGTTAGCATTACATTATTACAAAATAATAATCAATATCAATATCAATTGATATTGATTATTATTTTGTAATAATATATTACCGGCGGACAAACAACAGTTTAAAAATCAATCGTTCTGTTTGGTCATAGGCTAATAGTTTCAAATTTGGTATCAGAATCAGAATCTTTGTCAGTAAACATTCTTACAGATCTATTATACAAAGACGAAATAATTGTTGTTTCTAACACAAATAAAATAATAAATAGTAATAAAAATGTTCTCTGCATACGTACGGAGCACCGCCCACCGGACTTAAGCTCAAGTATGGTGATAATTCTAATGGGTTTGCAGTTAAACTAGAACAATCATAATCGAATTTTGACCAAACGATTTCACACGAATCTTTGACGAAAATTGATTGATATAGGGCCTATTGTGCGATTTCCTATGGCACTTGTTCAGTTTTCCCTCAAATTACTCAGGTATTCATCTTCTATCCTTAGGAAATCCACCAAACAGTTTTAAAGATACTTTTAAAAATATATTTCTTTACAGTGGATATTATTTGAAGAAATTCTCCTAGAGGAGCTTGATTTACACTCTTTTCAACTCACCGAGTTTTGTCGAGGACTCCTTTACTCAATGGTTAAGGCAAATTGATTATAAATATTTTGAATCTTATATTTAACTATAAGACTTATATTTAACTATTATTTATATATAGTTTATATTGATTGTTTTTCACATTGTATCGCCACAGAGGTTGTTTTCAAAGATAGATTATATTTATTGTTTTAAATTGTTAGATAGATTGTTTTTATTTATAGTTTAAGTAGGTTATTGACGAGTTTTTTGTAAATCAGAATTGTACAATATATGAAAAACGCTTGCTGAATAAAGACCATTTATTATTATTATATACAGTACTTAAAACAACTGATTTGTCTAATGGTCCGAGCAGGGAATATAAAATGAAAATATATAGGTGGTTAGCATCCACTATGGGTGGTTAGGATATTTTAAATATTTAACAATCATTATAAGTAAACTGTTGTCCTGTAGGTTGCTTCGTTACAGTATTTTGATAATATCTATTATTATTTTCCAACTAAGCTTGTAAAATAATAATAAGTTAAATAATAATAATAATAATTGACATTTCAATAAGACACTTCATTATTGTAACAAAAACTTAAGAATACGCATAAAAATATTTCTTTCTAAATTGGGAAAAACCCTGACAATTCTAAGGACAAATTTTTAACTGAAAATCCAACGGGACAATAAAAAATTTGCTAGTCTGCAGGTTTGTTGCGGCGGGGTATTTCGATAGGTTACGTCATACATTAAACCATTCACTATATATACCTGTAGGTATTTATAGTCAATGATTAAACATACTCGTATCTTTAATCTATGGTTACGCTAAGGTTCAATTTGCAGCAGCAGCTGAAACCTAGCGGAGAACCTTGGAACCTCTCAGATGTTTTTAGTGTTGTTGTGTGTTGTAGTGGCAGCACTGTCTTCTCAGCTGAGCTAGCTTGGCCTAGCAGAAAAGCAGAAGCAGTTCGTTGGTTATTCCGCTGCAGTGAAGAACTGCTTGTCGGTAGACCTGAGTTTGTATAGTCGTGGAATGTTATAATCTTATTATAACAGCCATTGATTTGTATTTCTGCTCAAGTGTGGTGCATTTGTATAATGCGAAGATGGATTTCAAAAACGTAGTATTCAACGCCGCACGTGATGGGAAGATTCGTCGTCTAAAGGTTTGTAAACAAATCTGCAATTTCCTTTGTTAGTTATTACATACATAAGATAGCCAACTTTCGATGCTTAGGCTATTTCCTAATTTGATTGTTTAACGATTCCCCCCAATTCTTTTCATTTATAGCCTCTGTTGTAACTTCACAGCTTATACCAAAAAATTGTTTTATTTAAATGCTCGTTCAAACTTAGGTTATGTGGGACAAGAGGTCTCTAAGCCTATTGTTATTGTTATGTTGGCCTTCTTAAGTTTTTACTAGTCTAGAAAGTTAATATATAAAACTTTCAATATAAGTTAAGCTACCCTTCGAAAAGGGTTTCAGCTAGGCCTATTTCCTATAGTTGGACATAACAATAAGCCTATTGTTATTGTTATGTTGGCCTTCTTAAGTTTTTACTAGTCTAGAAAGTTAATATATAAAACTTTCAATATAAGTTAAGCTACCCTTCGAAAAGGGTTTCAGCTAGGCCTATTTCCTATAGTTGGTTGAAGGTGATTATTTTCAACACCTTTTTACAAAATTTCACAAAGTATTAAATTAAGCTTAAGTTAACATAAATAGACCTATGTGATGACAGGTATATCATAAATTTAACGCCTAAATTAACTAATAACGATGATTATCAAATTAGGGTACGGTTTCTTAACTGGGCTATGCTGAGTACCTACCATGATAAGATTGGTAACAAAATAACAACAAAATAAAATATTAAGTTGACGGATAACATTCTATCATCAACTATCATAGTCAAAGTAGCAAAAAATGAACCAATTTTGATAGTCTTTGATTAGCCTTAAGATACAGTGTTCCTGACGATATTCCCCGAGAGTTCTGTAATATTAATTGAAGCCGATCACATTTGCTTTGGGGGTTCATAGTATTTTTGTAACTAAGTTAACCCTGCAGCAACAGTAACACCCTGTCATACTACAGGTTACTTTAGCCTAGACTGTATTTAAGCATTCGAGGATTTTTACTGGATGGATAATAACTTAGAAGCCTTGAATGTTGATGTGTCATGTATCAAAATCCCTTGATGTACTTATCGGGTTTCATGTTTGTTTACCAACTTTACTGAAAGATAAAAGTGGCTCCAAACAACCTCTCTGACCAGAAGAGGTTTTTTGGTGTAAAACTTTCCCTGTTTCATGTTGGTACAATGAATATGACTTAAAATCTAGTATGATTGACGACAATCAATATCGGCTCTGGCCTTGGGCTTGGGAGTTAGGATGGGTGGGTAAACAACTATCAGGCCTATCTTGTTTTTAATTTTGATCCACCGTGAAGAGGTTTGTTATCTTGTAATTCAAAGGTGGGTCCTTGTTCATTATTAAAACAGTTGTGGTCATGGAAATATATTGATTGTCTTGTCTTTGGTTCAAACAAAATAGTCTATTACGTTTTTTATTTTGATTGTTATTAAAAAGGCGATAACTTGCTCTCTATCCCTCACTTTACTCAAGGCAGGTTAAGTTGTACAACACTGGTGAGTAGGCTTAAATCTAAAATTATTTATTTGAATGTTTATTTACAATGAAGTTTCGGAGTGTTGCTGTCTACGGACTACTGTCAGACTGTTTTAAGATACAAACTGTGTATAAAAATAGACTTTAAATAGGTTGTTTTTTTATAACTGTTCACTCTTCATGTTGTAGATCTAAAAGTTTTCACAACGTTGTATACAACACATAGTGTAAATTGGCATTTCAGTTGATAAATAAATAAAAAATACCCTTGCCGCAACAAACCTGCAGACTATGCAAATTTCAACTTGTCTAATTTAACATTTTTACTAAAATATTTCCATAAGAAAAAGACATTCGTAATTTAAATAAAATTAGATTTAACAAGTGATTAGGTTTGCTGCTACGGGGAAGGTAAAACATGTTTTTTGAACATAGTTCTATAGTAGGCCTATAGGATAAAATAAATAAATTTGCCAAATTTTATCAACATATATCCATAAGCAAGTAAACTACAACAAATTTCATTTTCTCCATAAGAATAACATCAGTATTTTAAATTACACTTTTTTGATTTTTCTCTGTGACCGTTAAAATAGATATAACAGTGCTTCAATATACTAAATTATTTATTATATTAAGCTCTACAAAATAGTTAAGAAAGGGATGAAATTGCAAAATCTTTCGACAAAAGGTAGGTTTAAGTTACACGTTTGTACCAAATTTGATCAAAATCGAATCATTTTTGCTTGAGTTATCGCGCTATCGGACATACATATATGTTGGTGTTTTTGGCCTCTGGTGACCTCAAAACAAAAAAGTAAATCAGTCCCGGGTCTAGGTATTACCATGAGACCTATGGTAATAGCTTTGTTCCCTATATGGGAAATTCGCTAAAAGGAACACTTTTACTTTTTCACATAATACCTGACACAAAATCAAATCTTTTTTGGCGTTGTAAAAACTGTGGCATATTGTATTGAGGCCTGATTCAGCTACACTAAATTTTGCAAAATCTAAATACAGTATATGCCTCTATCTGCTATTTATAAAAATTTCTTAGGGCAGAGTTACTTCTAGAGGCATTTGATTTGCCTTTTATCACTCCAAAAATGATCTAACTAATTCGTTATGGGTTATTCTATGCCCATAAGAAAAAGGGTTTATAATGAAAAGTTAGGTTTGATAACTCGACATTTAAGCCTGTCGCAAGGGGCTGGCCGAAGTCCTGCCAGGTGTGCCAACTGTTTTGCAACGGTACCGTAACTGTAACTCAATGCAAAATAAACCTTGTTGATCTTTGAGGTTGCAAGTCAGAATTGCAAGAGGTTATTTCACTCACAATAGGCTTTACTGTGTGTAAGATGCATAAGTTAGGCGAGTCGGTTGGTGTTAGCAGTTGTATATATTTACTTAAATTACCCTACTCGTACTCAGAATTGGGTTACAGGTACTGCTCAAGTAGGTGTATTTCAGGTGGCCTTGTTTCTTGATGTGGATCAGTTGTGTAAAAGGATCTGTGACAGGAATACATGATTAAACTGACTGTATATTTTGAAATTCAATCACACAATAACTGAGAAATGTAAATTTTTTTGGTACCTGTGAAAGCAGTGTCAATATTTTCTAATGTATAAATAATAATTGAAGTAACATTAAATATTTTCAGTCAGTGGTTAAAATTTGTTATGTGTGCTATTTTATTGCCTTTATTGAACTTAAATCGGTAGTAGTTTGGCAATTAATTAAAAACCACTGGTTTTTACTTTTATTGTTTTCCTCTCAAATTTCTTGCGAAGCAATAATTTTGTCTTTCACTCCACAAATTTAATCAATCATACAAGATACAAAAAAGTACAAGTTAATTCAAAAGAATTGTCTATAAAATTTTTAATTAAAATAAATTTACCCAACCATTTCCACACAGTGATTTGGTTAGTGGTTTCATGTAGTTGTTATCACACCATGAGTTTGTTCCCATTGTCATTAGGCTTAATTGGCACATTCACTTTCTTGTTGGGTTATGAGGAGTTGCTCAATTATGCAACCTAATTTGTTATGTAAAATAGGCCCCAGTCTGATAATAGGTTAGTGAGTGTAACATTGGCATTGACCCTTTATAACTAATTATCTTTTCTTATATTTTTATAAACATACTATATTATCCATTTATATAAACTAAAATAAACTAAACTAAATATTCCAGCAAACTTTATATAGGTACATATTGTGTTTTGGCATGACCCTAGTTTTGCACCTCCTTGCTGTGGGGATATATTTTTGAACTAAAGAGACTGATCACAATAATTTTTCAATTATCTTAGGTAAAAAACTTTGTTTGAGTACACTGATTGATTTAAGAGTCGGTGCCAAAGTTCCTTTTTCAGTTTTTCTACTGAAAATTTTTTTGTAAAGTGAGATGGAATTTAGAATTTTTCAGCCAAATACAATGGTTTCTTACTGAATTTTCTGGTGATGTAGGTTGGAAGGCTGTGCTCATCTTGTATGGTGGTTACGGAAATCATGATTCCTAGGAAGATTTACTTGACTTGTTTACATTATTAGTTTAAAAATGTTGAGTGCAGGAACTGTTAAATTCTAAAGAATTTAAAAGCTTCTCTACAACTTTTTGATAGACCAAAACCAGAAATGGCAAACTTAGTAAGAGTTTTTTTAGTTTTCTTTTTGTTGAAAAATACATTTAAATATGCCCCAAAAAGAAAATGAAGAGTAAAATAATTTGCAATCATGTATTGCAACAGAACACAGTTTACTGTGGTAGGTAGTTAAACAAAATCAATGTAATTAAGATCCATTCTTACAAAACAAACAAAGTTTCAAAAGTCATTATTGTTCACACAAAATTATACCTAAAACAAGTACCTATCTACTGTATACTCATGTTGTCAAGTTATTGATATTACCGTGCCATTTATGTTATAATCAAGCATTCAGTGTGAAGTAATTAACTGTAGATAAATCTCAATCATCTTGTTGACTTCTGTATACTCCGACTTGAAACTTTAATTCCAGATATGATCACAAAGGTTGAGTGTTTTGTTTACTTATCTACCAAATCAAACAGTGAATCATCTTGTAAAAAAATAACTTACATCAGGATTATGTAATCATTTAAAGATAGCTGACAATACAAAATTATCTGATGATACAGGTCAATTTTTAATTAATTCTTTCTGCTCTGTATCATACAGTGAAAACAATGTTTCTTGTACCATATATAGTAATTGCCATAGTATATGCCTCCCTGATACAACATATTATTCCACATCCACCCTCACTTCTGTTTCGGGAAAATATAAATTGTTTCCTCAAAGTTTTATGTTTATCTTAAATATTAAATTGGCACTTTATAGGGTAGGAAGTGAAATAGGTAAATCACTTGCATAAATACAATGATGTAACTGTAGTACTTGACTGGAAAGTGATGGCATTTGTGATTTATCATCCAATACTGTACTGTATTATAATATTTAGCACCTATTTTTTTGAAGTTTATCTTTAGCTGAAGAACAC